TTCTCATCTCTCTCTCTCTCTCTCTTTTCTCTTCTTCATTTCTTTACTTTTCTTTTCTTTTCTTTTTCTTTTCTTTTCTTTTCTTTTTCTTTTCTTTTCTTTTCTTTTCTTTTCTTTTCTTTTCTTTTTTCTTTTTCTTTTTTTCTTTTCTTTTCTTTTCTTTTCTTTTCTTTTCTTTTCTTTTCTTTCTTTTTGCACCCTCACCCGATCTCCTGACGTCCATATAGCTAGATTCGGAAGGTTTTTTTATTTTTAATATCAGGGTCTAATCCTATACTTTCAGACCAAGGGACGTCCTTGCATCGTCATCCGAAATAAGAAGGCTACACTTATTTTTCCAAAATGTACGCATTTGAGCAACGTCCATTTAAATTGTATTTTACTAGGTCAATTAGAGCGAGAAAATGTTATTTTTTGCTGTATACAACTTTACATCTTTATAAGAGCAATGAATCACAAACGCACTTTAAAGTTTGGGCTACAACCATGTGGCCGCGATCCAAGATTTCCCCAAAATCGCGCCGTTTTACTGTTTTACTTGTTTCTTCTTTTTCTTTTTTTTTTCCTTCTCTCCCCCCCCCCCCCCCGGCTTTCTCCTTTTAGATCCGCCCCCGGATAATAATTATGATTGATAACCATCCTTTGGACTCTGTGTTCAGTCATTATTCAGACAATTTGGGGCCACTTCCACCAACGACTCCTATCTCGAAAGAAAACGAAGAAGAAAACTCATCGAATTTGGTCACGCGTGTTTCCTTATTGCCTATTCAGGAATGCGTTGTATTTTTTATCACTTCAGTCGCTGTCTGCGCAATTCGCCGACTGGGTGTCTGGAGTGGGCGGGGTCGGGGTGTGAGGCGGATCTGTCTTACCCGCATGTTGCGTGTGGATTGTGTGTGTTGGGGGTGGGGGTGGGGGAGGGGGGAGGGGCGGTTGTGTGTTTGAGTGTTAGTATGAGAGTGTTGATGGTGTGTGTGTGTGTGTGTGTGTGTGTGTGTGTGTGAGGGGGCAGTGGCGGATCCAGGGGGGGGCCCCGGGGGGCCCGGGCCCCCCCCCCCCCCTTGAGAAAAAAATCATGTAAAATCCCGTGATTTTTACCTTTTTTGGGGTTTGGCCCCCCCCCCCCCTGGCGCTCAAGGGGGGGGGGGGGGTGCAAATTGAAAAAATTTTGAGGATCAAAAAAAAATGTACTCACTACCCCCCCCCCCCCCCCCCCCCCCCCCCCCCCCCCCCCCCCCACTGAGCGAATTTTCGGTCGGCGCGATTTTCAAATTTTCGGGAGCAAAAAAAAAAAAGTTGGGCCCCCTCCCCTAAGAAATCCTGGATCCGCGCCTGTGAGGGGGGGGGGGGGGTAGAGCGGATTGTCTCATTCCTCGACTTTGCTCCTCCAACCTGTTGTGGTCTGGAGTTCGCCATTGTACCTGTGGTTGGCTTATTTTTACTCCTTTTCTTCATTTTGGGCCCAACGAAATTTTCAGTTTCTGATGCAATGCTATCTCGAGGTTCTTGCTTTTGTACTTGTAATTGTTATAATTCTGATTATTTCTATTACGTGTACTCTGCCTTTTTTTTCCCCCAGATCATCTGAATCGTTTGTAAATATCTTAATTTGTCATTAATTTCTTTTGTAACACATCATTTGTATTTTTTTTGGAAAGTTTGTATATGTTATGATTTGATTTCTTAATAAAAACATAAATATATAAAAAAAAAAAATTAAAAAAAAGAAGAAGAAGAAGACTCATCGGAGCTTGAAGACTGAATTGAACACACAATCTTTATATAATCCCAAGGTGCCTATACCGAAATAATGAAATCGGCATAGAGTACAGATCAATTGAATTATACCTTAAAACAATAAGCGTGGAAAAATTATTTCAGAAACTGACCGTTATGTAGTTAAGTTTATGTTTTTACATACATGAGCTCAATAAAAAGCATTCAAAATATATTTTGTCACTGTAATGTTTTTAACAAGAGATGACGCTCGACATAAACATGGACAGGGTTTTATTAGTCATCCGATTTTCCAAATTCAGTGTTGTTAATTTCCATATAATTTCGCAATAAGCTTGAAATAAACGAATAATTAATTTGCGTTGTTTTGTTTGGCTTTAATGTACTTGTATATAATTTTGATAAATTGATACTGTATTTATTATCATGTTGCAAATACGATTGAGCGCATATCGTACGTTACATCGTCCACTGTATATAGCCTTTTACTAAAAAAAAATCCTCATTTGTCATTTCATAATCTTTGGATGATTTGCCAGGAATTTCGTATATTAACTTACAATTTAAAAAAAAAAATGAAACGTTGATGTTACTAACCGGGGCCATTGTTTTGATATCACTCTGCTCATAGCGGGCTTTGCAATCATGGGGGCGCTTCTCTTACATTACCGAAATTGGCAATAGACCATTTCAAATTGATATAATAAAGCAATCAGAGACGAGGTAATTCATATTGTATCTCCGTCATGAGTCAGAAGGCAAATTTCATAGAGGTTGGAACAATGATTGCATTCTTTACCGTAGTGACAACAACAGGCAATGTTTGTAATTTGGCAAACTAACTATTGATATAAAATATAATGTGTGCATTAAATATGATTATACAAAAATGGCGCAACTTCTCTTACTATACAGTCGAACCTGTTTTAGTGACCACCTGTCTACAAAGACAATTTGTTTCCCTTGAAATTTGTTTCTCATTGAAACATGTCCTAAAGGAACCTGCCACAAAGACCACTTTTTGTGTTTCCCTATAATTGGGCGGTCGCTATAGACAGGTTTGACTGTATTAGGGGCCCAGCTATACTTGGGCCCCAATTCCCCAAATGCTTGTTCCATCTGAGGTTTAACTAACATAGCAACACGTGTCGTAGGAGTTCGAAGAAAAATTAATACTCCTGATAAAATTTCTCAACAATAATAGGCCTAACTAAATTTAAGTAAATCCCATGTGCCAATATCAGGATTATTAAGGAGAAATAGAATTTAATTAAATAAAATGAAGAAGAAGAAGCTCCCACCCCTTCCCCGCTGTGTTTCTAAGCAGCCCCCCCCCCCCCCCCCAATGTGTCGCCCGGGTTGACTAAGCTTTACAAATTTTTGACTAAGTATGACTGAGAGAAAGAAAGAGATCAAGACCAAACCCATCCCATCGACCCCTGCTCTACTGCTATATTAATTACCGATCCGGCACTCTTTCGTATCTTTCTTTATACCCCCTCTACTCTCCCTCCCCTCCCCCCCCCCCCCCCCCCCTCCTCTCTCTCTCTCTCTCTCCTCTCTCTCTCTCTCTTTCTCTCAGTCCCTCCCTCCCTCCCCTCTTCTAGAAGCCATCACTTCGACTCCCTCTATAATATTCACACTTTCTCCTGACCCCTTGCCGATTTTTCTCGGTCTAGATCTTCAAATTAAGATCTGCGTATTAATAAATTAGCGTAGATACATTCGAGTAGTGAAAATATAGAACGAAAGGGGGGGGGGGGAGGTGAAATAAACAAATAGAGAGGGCTAGAGAGAGAGAGACAGATACAGAAAGACAGAGACAGCAGGCGCGGATCCAAGATTTCTTAGGGGTGGGAGCCAATCTTTATGAGCACTTTTTTTTTTGCTTCCGAAAATCTTAAAAATCGCGCCGGCCGAAAATTCGATCAGTGTGTGTGTTGTGGGGGGGGGGGTGGAGGTGGGTGGGGGGGGGGTGGGTGGGGGGGTGGGGGGAGGGGATTGTGAACATTTTTTTTTTTTTGGCCCACGAAAATGTGCACTCCCCCCCTCTCCCCTCCCCCCCCCCCCCTTGAGCGACAGAGGACAGACAGACAGACAGAGAGAGAGAGAGAGAAAAGAGAGAGAGAGAGAGAGAGAGAGAGAGGGGGGGGGTCGAGGTAAGAAGACGCCTGGACATATACCTTCCGCAACAATTGTATCTCTAAGCTAGGCACATTTACTTTTCCGTGTCAAACCAGTGCCCCCCCCCCCCCAGGCACGTAGTCACGGGAGGGGGGGGGGGCCCCCCATTTTTTTTTTCCAAGATCGATTACATGTATGTGCCCCCCCCAAAAAAAAAAAACATAAAACTTTAGCTACGTGCCTGCACATTTTTTTTTGGCCCACGAAATGTGCACTTCCCCCCCCCCCCCCCCCCCCCCCCCTTGAGCGACAGAGACAGACAGACAGACAGAGAGAGAGAGAGAGAAAGAGAGAGAGAGAGGGGGGGTCGAGGTAAGAAGACGCCTGGACATATACCTTCCGCAACAATTGTATCTCTAAGCTAGGCACATTTACTTTTCCGTGTCAAACCAGTGCCCCCCCCCCATTTTTTTTTCTTCCAAGATCGGTTGAACTTTTTGGACCCCCCTTTTTTTTTTTACCTCGATCGATTACATGTATGTGCCCCCCCCCCCAATAAAAAAAACCATCAAACTCTGGCTACGTGCCTGCCCCCCCCCCCCCCCCCCCCCCCCCCCCCAGGAACCGAATAATTTCAAGCATAGTACACGAAATGCACTGTTGTATTCTTCATCATTGTGGTATATGATTTTCTTTATATTGGTATTTTCTTTGAGATGCATAATGCATATGAGTTTACAGATTTATAAAACAAAAATAAAATAAAATTATGAAAAGTCAAAAGTAAAAAAAGTTTAGTTTGTCAAACTTATGTTACAACATTATTGAGTAGTTTTATTACATTCATCGCGTGCATTTCGATTGTTTATGTTTGTAGTCCTTTAGGCCTATATTTTGGATAAAATTCTATATATGCATTTACCAGAAAACGACAACAAAAAGTATTTGCCGCAGAAATATAAGGCAAATTCACTTTAAATTATACTTCCGTCGAAACCAATAAAAACGTAAATATTTAGCAACAGTGACAACATAGAATTCATCATCATAACAAAAACAAAATTATAACAAAAATATAAGAAAATAATATTAAAAGAGAGAGAGAAAAAAAAGCCGTAAGCCTTGACTAAAGGTAAGCATGAAAAGTTGTATCGTAAACAAGGATTTCAGAACAAGAAGTTAGGCGTGGCAAAACTACCCAAAATTGGCTATTTGCAGGAGGAAATCATCTTAATCGTAAGTTCAGAATATCGCAAAACTTAATGTTCATGGTGCCTGTGATAATTTGTTACTCTAAATGTCAATATTTTACCTGTAGTAGAATCCTATTTGTGTGTTCATTTTTTCGGACTGTTGTTTGTTGCGGTCGAATTGAAGCCATACCAAGCATAGGCATTCACTGCACTGGACACGGCGTTTGTTAGAGCAGTTCTCGGCACAGCAAGCAGTCCTGGCTTCGCCAAGCGCTATGGCCAACAGCGCCTCTGCACTCGCGGTCGCTCGCCCTCGCTCGGGTGCACAGAGGGTCTGTCTGTCTCCTTTTCAGTCGCAGAACGTTTGCATGCCTACCGGTATTCAATATTTGCGAATTTGTGATTGACTTGTAATCACTTAAGTTTTATGCCACAAATTATTGAATAACACAACCTAAAATATGACAACTGACACAAACTAATGTGTTAATAAATTTGATCAGTGATCGTGATTGCAAATAGATCTAGATCTACATGTAAACATGGATGGATGTGATGGATCGAGTGTTGTTTACAATTTGCGAAATGTTCATTGTTGCAATTGTTTCTAGATTTATAATAAATCTATATGTTTTAATAATTTATAAAGTTACATCTAGTCTAGATATGGTCTAGATCTACTATTATTAGATGTAGATAGATGCGGTATTTGGGACTGCATCGCTATCCTGGCTGTGTAGAAAAGCTGTGCTTTTGATTCTCAACATTTAAATGTTAAGAATCAAAAGCACAGCATTTCAAACACCACTGTACAAAACTCAACTGATTTCACTCAATATCGGTACTTTAGTGACAGTTGCATTGATGACACCTAAATAGCAGTAAAATAAATTTTTTTCAACTTACTAGATCTAGTGTTAAAAAGAATAATTAAAAAATTCAAAACTTTTGATAATGATGGAGTCTTTTATAGCACTCACGTCTCTGACATCTGGCAAATTGCCATTCCCTTCACTCCCCTACATGTACACTGTAGTGTTATCCCGCTTTAGCATGGCTGCTAAATATATTAAGGGTCAAGCATTGTAAGAAATTAAATCCTGCCAGGTACCCAATTAAAGCTAAACTTGAGTTCTGGTAAAAAAAGAAAATGAATTCTCACAGAATCTAACGAAACTTACACTGAATGTTCAAGGTTACAAATAAATGTCATGTGCCAAACAATTTTGGAAGAAAATGTATACTGGCTGAGTATTAATTGTTACTTTACCAAGACTCTGCCAAATTTATGATGATTTTGATGACTCCAGAACCTTGCATTACACACCATTACTTACATGCTATATGATCAACTTTTCTGATCCATTCCACACCTTTTCTTTCACAATGCAATCGCATTACCAGAACTCAAGTTTATCTTTAACCCATTTGCCTTTGGTTTGTTTGGCTCTGTTTGTTTTTTTCTAAATATCTACCCCAGTATTTTTTTGTGTAGGTGTGTGTTTTGTTAATGTTTTTTTTCTTTCTTCTTTATAGTTCCAGATTGCCCCTTTTCAGTTTTTAATTGTAGGCTTTAAAGTTGATATTCTAAGACAATCCCAAATATTGAGATAATAACATCTTGATAGAAAGCTTTTAACCCCCAGAATAACACTAAATGGTGTCCAACTGACAAAAACAAGTTTAGAATGGTGAATTTATGCGAGTAAACTCTACCAAACTTCTAAGTCTTAAACCCGGAAGTGCATGTAGAGTCGGGCCTCTATCTGTGCGTCACAAACGGGACTCATGGGCTCAGTGAGAGTGAATAGCAGTGACCTCCCTACGTAAATGCTATCCTGTCAGAGCTTAGATTTGTTGTTGTTAATGAGTAAATTTAATGGATTTTCTGTTTTCATTTGAATGAAGAATAACAAAGCAACATTTTCCAGTCGCTGATTTCTTTTTATATCCTCATATTCACCTATTTGGTAGAGATTTAAGACGAATTTACTGCTTGGGAAACAAGGTTAAATCATGCACGTATGAAGAATAGGCGGATGCATTATCTTGTCATCAGATAAGGTACAGGAGCAGTTTTGTAAAATGACGAATAGGCCTAGAACCATGATAGTACTTATCATAGATGTGTGTTACTGCATCAAAAAAGGATACAGTACCAGTTAAACATTTTATGTTGTAAAATATCAAACTTGAACGAGATCATGATCACGAGATCATGTCTAGTGATCGAACAATATTTATCTGCGAGTGATGCAGCTCTTGCACGAACGTTCGTGAAGCGAGCAGAATCGGAAGGTACATGTTGTAAGACCAGGCCGCTGCTCTAGGCGCGGCTTGCTTGTGATGGAACGTACGTGCGCTGTATTTTTATCGGCAATTGCAAGAGAATGAAAGCGACGTTACCATGCAGCTAAGAAAAACAACTAACAAAGACTTGCTCCTGACTACCGGTGTCAGAATTGGTAGATCTCGCACAATGCACAGCATGGCCGGAAGAAGATGAAGGGCCAAGAAAGGCGAAAGACATGGGAAAAAGGAAGAAGAAACCATCGGGAGATCACTGTATGGTAATGAACTGTGCATCGGTCCACTTACCAGACAGCTATTGTCCACTCCGTGCCTTGGCCGATTTCAACACCAAAACAAAAAATTACATGGTAAAAATATCGACTACCGGTAATAGCACATCATTGACATGTATACTGTATGTCATAATTTTTAAAAGGGGAATTGATATTAATACTATGAAATATTATGGGAAGGTAAAGAATTGTACATAGAATTATGATTTATTAGACTTTTCAGCCTTTGAAACAAAAATGAGCAGAAAATCGTATCTCTCTGCACATGCTTTCTATGGAACATCCGGGTACTTGAATATACTCTTTCCCGGACGTGATGTCATATATAGTAGACCAGCGCCGTGACTGATTTTCTATGCAAAGAGAGGCGGATTTTTCGACATTTCGATCAAGGATTTCGAGTAGCAAGAATTTTTGTGTGATATACTAAGTAACTGAAAAAATTATAAATAACATACACCTGTATGCTTGCCGTAGGCACCAAACTAAGAGACATTTATTTGCTTAGAATATCAGCTTTAAAGCCCCTCTATAGTGTTGGGAACCCAAAATTTGCCAAAAAAATTATGACAAAAACTCACCTACATGTATATTTTATAATGATGTGAAAAGAGATGTCATTTTAATAAACACTAGTACTACTGCAAGGATTTTTTCAAAACAAATGTTTTTTGAGCAAAATATTAATGAAAGAACACCATATTTAGGTTTTCTGTTTACACTGAAAACCTCAGTTTGTACATGTACATGTACATGTATATACATGTATGTACATGTATCCTTTCATCCATTTATCCATTTTTGTCTATAAATGACTAGGCTACTAATAACACAATTGTTTTTAAGATCCTTGCAGAAGTGTTTGTTAAATAACATCCTCTTTCACCTCATCATACAATTTATGTGAAATTTAGCCATCAACTTTTTGAGGCTCCCCTGTCCCAACACTTTAGAGCTCTAGGCTTTAATTTGAGTGAAACAATCACATCGTAGACTTTTTAAAAATGACACTACATTGAAATTCTGACTCATGTTCACACAATTTATAGGCATGAAGTCATTCAGACGTGGGTTTGAACTTTTAATAAGACAAAATTATTTCATTATTGTATGTGTATTTAGATCAATACCATTACATTTTAGATCTTTTTTTGTTTTGTTCTTTTCTTAATTCTGTCATGTATTGACTCTTTTTTTATTGTGTACACAGTACGTTGGGAACTACGCCTCGCAAGTTTTTTGTTTTTTTGTTTTTGGCAAACTTTATTCAGGAGTTTCCATTTTCCCCTAATCTCACCCAATCTTAATTTTTATGTCATCATCATTGTTGCTATTTATGATGGATAGAGAAAAAGTATAAATTGAACCCAAAATGGAATTGAACATAGCCAATCATCTTGGAACTTTGGAAGGTATTTGAAACAGTAGACCTAGAGTTGTTTAGGAATGTGCCCTGTGGGTCTAGACAAGGCCAGGAGGTTACAACCACTCAAATTCTTTCTGCTCCCGTGAGGAGTTTTATCAACCTGAACTGAAACGATTGGCCTTCTACCGATCTGACAGTGACATTCTGTGCTGATGACGTACACATGTTCAAATTGGTCATCCTATTTTAGAGTTCATGCCAGCTCCTGAATTCCAAATTTAACGCACAAATCTTTATCGATTTTTGCTAGGTAGGACAAGCATAATGGCTTGAGCTGATGAAAACGGACCTTTTTTGGCTCCAAAAGTATAAAATAAATTAAGTACACATAGATAAGGTATCTACTGTAATTGCAGAGTAATGACAGGTTTTCTGGAATTGGAGAAAATCTGGCAAGTCCTTTTTTCCACGTTTGGGAAAAACTCAGGGAATAGAGGAAAGCACTCAAATCAGGAGTTTTCATATATCATTGACTTTACCAGTTGCAAAGTCTCTTATATTTCGTTTTTGTCTACTTTTTGAAGAGGTTGGGAAGATGTTTCGACTTAATTGCAATACATCGAAATAATGATCCTGAAAATTTGAAACGCCGTCATGGACAATCGTAGAAAAGCTAGGAGATTTGTTTTCATTAAATGCTGAGAACCGTGAATAATCAAAGAATAATGAGAAAATCAAGCAAGTCACGCAAGCATTTGTCACATGAACACATTCTCAGCTAATCCTATTTTCATTAGTTTCTGTGTGCATAGTTGGCTGTTGGTGTTGCGTAAAACTAGCCACTACCTTAGTCTTTCCCAGATGCATCATGGACTCCATATTCAGAAGTTACCGGTATTAAGAAACCAGATATTGGCACTCTACAAATTCCTGGATAAGATTGGATTGGCTTACGGTAAAGATAAAGTTTAGTTCTGGTCATGCGATTGCATAGTGAAAGAAAAGGTCTGGAATAGATCAGAAAAAGTTGATCATGTAGCATGTACATGTAAGTATTGGTGTGTACTGCAAGGTTCTGGAGTCATTAAAATT